GCTTAGCGGAGGGGGAAACGCGGTCTACAAAAACCCCCTAGTAACACACCGCAACCGCCGCCTGCCCCCGCCCCAACACTGGACACAAACAACCCGCAACAAACTCTCCGCAAAACGTGAAAAAAAAAAAAAAGTTATTTATCTTTGCTTGTTTTCGCGTTTCCGGCGGTGACGTCCCGGACGTTACTACCCCGTATCGACTCCCGAAAAGGGCGTCCCGGGAGCACAAGTGACCTGGACCCAGTGTTGTACACGTTCCTCCAAAAGAGACCAAAGCTCGTTTACCGTTCCTTGTCAACCTCGGAACGCATTCCCCTTAGAAGTTCCAAGGGTTTAAAAGGAACGCGTTCCTGTTACATTCCAAAGATATAAAGTTTTTAATTGGAACGCGTATTTTAATAAAAGATCCTGCTAAACAATTCGTAAAAAAAAAAAAAAAAAAGAAAAAAAAAGAAGAAGAAAAGAACGCGAACAAGTAAGATTATTTACATCGAACTATACGTGTCGAGTCGTCTTTGTTTTCGGCCGACTCTCGGACATCCCTTCATCTTTCGAGGTGGCAGGTTGAAGGAGTCGTTAATGAAAAGCATAAATGCAACTTGCAAAAAAAGAAAAAAAAAAAAAAAAACTTCTTTTTTTTGTTATTTCCTTGAGAACGTAACGTGTTCCCGTTTCAGTTCCACCGACGCAAAATGGAACGGCGGCATCCCTGCGTCCCTCCTGGATGGAACGCGTTCCACGAACGACGTTCCGCACAACACTGCCTGGATCCCACATAAGGGAGAACAGGCATCACCGCCAGGTCCGAATTAAGGTACGAGCTAAGGGGGATGCAGACCAGGGGCCCCGGCCCTCGGGGGGAATCCCGTGCCGTAGGTCGTAAAAACAGAAAAAAAAAAAAAAAATTCCTGTAATAAAAAACAAAATATTTTGGAAAATATTAGCACAACATTCAGAAAAAGAGGCATGACAAAGATAATGGCACTGCAAGCGAATCCAAAGCACACTTTACGCGTCGAACTTTGGATGGTCTTTCCCGCCCTGTACTTTACAAAATATTTCTTTTTTTCTTCTTTTTTTTTTTAGCTGCAGCAATTTTTTAGGTTAACGGGGAAGAAGCTACATGAATGTGACAATAGAACAGTCTTGGCTTACGACTGCCTCAATTTTTTTACTATAAACATATATCTTAATCGCATTCATTAAAAAGTGAATTAAAGAATTTTAGTTAATTCACTCGATAATAGTGATGGTTATATTCCCATCTAATGACCGCCGAGCCATAAAAACACGCAATGAAAACGCCATTCATAGAACTTTTTCCCCTTTATTTAAACATTTGGTGCAGCTAAATAAAGTACACCCTATTTGTGAACGTCGAGCCACGGAGAACCGAGCTCTACCGAGCACGATACCGGCAAAAAGATTGTTCAACGCTTCTAACCCAGAGTGCTTACTGAAAAGCCAGTCGTGACAGTCATTAGATGAGGGCATTCCGTTTGCCTATAAATGGGAATATACTCGAAGGGACCGCAGAATTTGACCGTTTTTTGAGCGATGACATTGCTCGAGGCACAAACGTAAACACATAAAAATAACTTAGACTTTCTAAAAAGTACCGTGTTAACCAGTCATATCACCGTCGTCGTTGTTGCTGTCAGGGCCGTACCCAGAAAAAAATTTCGGGGGGGGGGGGGGGGGGGGGGCGGTTTCGGGGACTACGCCGGCCATTTTGAAAGTGTCTATTGTCTTATTTTCACCTATGAATCATGTACATCGGTGGCATATAATGGAGAGTTACAGCAAACCGGAGAACCGGTCCCGGTTTGGTACCCGGTAGCCGACCGGCGCCACTGCGCGTGCGCAGAGGTGGAGATTAAAATCGGCTGGTTGCAAGTGCACCGACCAGGGCCGTACCCAGAAAAAAATTTCGGGGGGGGTCAGATGACCCCCCCCCCCGACAGGATGAGGACAGCAGGGAGAAGTTTCAGTTGTCCCTCCTCTAGAACGTGCATGCCTAGCTTCGATAATACTTCGGTGTCTCGTGGGCTTCGAGCGTGCACCCCGCAGCCGAAGCACGGGGGAAGGCGGCGACCACGTGCAGGGTGCCGGGTGTGCGAAAGAGACGCCCTGGTGTCCTCATCTTCAATGACTAAAAGTGCACCTAGTCGTACCTCGACGATAACGGCTACTGAACCCGGCACACGATAAGCAATTCTTGTAGATCGCTTGATCGACACACGCCTTTCCGCGTGTGTCGTTATATCGTTATCGGAGTGCGAAAACGATCTTTTAGGACTCCCTAACGAGGACGTTAGAGTGCAACACCGCCATTTTGATACAGTACAATGCACCTCTCATTCAACGACGTGCGATTGTCCGAAACACTCGAAAGCTATTGCCGTGAAGAGCGTAAAGGATTTCTTATCCGATATCAAAGCAGATCACACAATGCTTATATAGTGGAAATTGGAAAAGAACCGGATATTTCTGGCAGGAAAACAAGCAGCCCTAATAAGAAATAATTCCTGGTACGTTAGGACGAAGTCCAAGGTCACACTGCTCATACATAGTGCAAAAGACATGCTGAAATTCGCTGCATACGTGACGCCAGACATATCACGCCTCATGCATTCTTGTGGCATGTTGGCTTCATACATGTGCGCTTCGAACATGTCTGCGGGCAGTTGTTGTATGTCCAATGTCAGGACCGTCATAGAAGACTTAAAGAGAAAGAGGCACTGACGGGTATTTATGCGCACCGAGGTTTTTAGTTTTACTTGACATACGAGAGCCCAACTACCCAGAACACAATTTGCGGCTCGAAATTCGTTCTCTTTCCACCCGACAACGGTCGATCGAGAACTGGCCGGTTTGAGTCGCGCTCAGTCTCTTCTCCGTGTGGTCACGTGCCTTTTTTCATAGTTTCGTCACAATTACCAAAGATAATGAAAGTCGTGGGTCACTGAAGGCACACACTCAATATTAAAACTAGAAACAAAACATGATACCTATTTTTTATGGCTTACAAAACTGCAAATACGTTGCTTGAAAAAAAAAAAAAAAAGTTACTCAATTGCGTGATTTTTGGCAACCTCTCCTCCTCTATATCTCTTCTTCCTCCCCAGTCCAGTTTCGGTTTTGGTTTCGAGCAGTTGCGTTTTCCTTTTTTTTTTCTTAAAAATATACGTGACGTTGTAGGCAAATATTGATCGGGTAATCTTCTGACACCATAATGGATCGCCAAGGAAAGGGACGCGGGAGAGAAGAAAGTTGGCAAAAACGGTTTGAAGAGTCATCAAATTGATGAGGGAGAACACACGAGCGTGTGCCACTCACTACAGGCAGAGCACGTGTGCAGCGCTGGCTTTTCAAGAACCGGAGACCAACCAATGGGACTAGAGCCACTAAATGAGCTGCATCAGTCCAAGCAGTCCTCTCCTCCTCTTACATGGTGATCAAAAGTATGCGATGTGACGTCAGTGCAGCCCATGTGTATGGGCAAGTATCGTTACTCTGAAGCGTAGCTTATTTAGTGGCTCTAAATGGGATCACTCGAGCAGCGTCAAAAATGCAAACCACTGGGCCTTTTTTTTTACGATTGGTTTAGCGATGACAGAATGCGTACAGAAACATGACCATTATGGTGCGTCTTTGACGCTCTCTGATTGATCCTATTGTAGTACCATTAAATAAGCTACGCTTCGGAGTCACGACACTTGCCCATATTGTGGCTTAAATATTACGGTTGCCAGTCATCTGAAGCTTTATCTGAAATCACAAGAAACGCTTTTTCGTCCTTCACAGATGTTTAAAACAGTTCGCGACAGAGCAAAGCTATATTGCATGAGCTTCGTAACACTTAAACTAATGCTTAGGAAACCGCACTTCTGAATAATGACAATCAGCAGTTGCGTCTGCTCTGCAAAAGCACCAAGATGGCGGCGCCCATAAAAATATCGGGAACAGAGGGCCGATGCTCCTAGTGTAGCTCATTTAGTGGCTCTAATTGACCCCATCGAATCGCAGCGTGTGCCGAGTGATCCGAGCGCGCTTGTTCCCTCTCTCAATTCTTATGACTGCACAGCACTTGGCGGAACGTTTTTGGGAAACTCCCCGCGATTGTCTGCCGTTGTTATGTGCCACGCTCTTCGCACTATCTTCTTGGAGCAGACTTCATCCTTGGCCCACAGATTAGGACGGAGTATACGTCGTGCATGTTGTTTTAGTCCTCGCTTTGCAGTTGTTATCAGGCGGCAATTGACTCACCAACTGACGCATGGAAAGCGTGGATCGCTTTCGCGTTGGTCCAGTGCCACGCGCCGCCGAGGCAAAGTTCAAGCGCAATGTGTAAACGCATCCGCGGTGCATTGGCATCAGTCCAAGCACGATCGGTACGTTCGGTGCAACCCATGGGTGCAGTCCAGTGATCAACAAGCATCACATGCCTGAAACCAATGGCGTAGACAGACTTTTTTCTTTTCTTCAAGGGGGGGGGGGGGATGAGGCGCTTAAAGCCTGCTGGAAGCATGTTTTCTTGATACATATATATACGCTGCGAACTTGTCGCAGGTTTTGTACGCCAATCTGACAGACCGTCATACAAGGAAGAAGCACGCTTTAGACGGTCTCTATGGTCTATTGACGATGTTACCGCGGCTTTATGGACGAGTAGCCGGCTTTGTGAGCAGTACTGTAGTTGTTGCGGTGCTCACAGTATATGTGAGATACTTGTTTGTGAACTTGAACAAGTTGAACTTGAACGAGAACTTGTTCACAAACAAGTATCTCGTTTTGATGCATGAGCAATATGAGCGCGGCTTAAAAAAGTCATATCTGCGAGGTCCAGCAGACGGCAACGCAGACGTACACAAGGTCGCCAATCGAGACCCCAGTCCTCGTTAAAAATTAAAAAAACCGTCATAACGCAACGTTGGGCGTAACCCGAGGCAACAAAAAATACTTTTTTTTTTTTCTTTTTCAGGAAAAGTGCAGCCCACCTCATCGCCATGGCTGTGCATCGTGCCGGTAATCTTGCTCGTCGGAGTTTGCAGCAGGCGCCAACTACGGCAGCCATCTTCGCTCGCTCACCTCAAACAACTTAATTTTAGAACTTAAGAACACAGGCGAAACAAAGGAACGCTGTTTCAAACCGCGTACACGCGAAACGGCCTGCACCGGACACACAGCATGACAGAAGAACGTGAGTTGTGCGGTCGCAAAGCAACCCGAGGCGTCATGCGGTTCTCCGACTGTTTTTGATAGTCGTTATCGAAGACGGCGGGAAAACGGCCAAAAATGTCTCCACTCGGTTTCCCCTTGCGATGGACCGCGCAGGACGCTACGAGCCATCGCAGCCAATCAGACGCCACGCTACTGTCACGTGCGCTTCGGAAGGATCACAACAACGCACTAACCGGAATGCAGTCACGTGACTCATTCGCAATGCCCCATTGGCTCGTAGAGTCCGCTGCGGTCCACCGCAAGGTGAAAGGGTGTAAGAAGTAAGTAAGGGGGCGACAAATACGACCGGTTTGTAGCGGTTCGAGGGAGAGGAGGCGAGAGCTGAAGAAAGGAGCAGAAAGTTGGGGTTCTGAGGACGCTATCTGCCGTAGCTTTTACGGAGAATCTCGACAACAGTGTTTTGTCGGTGCAGACCAGGCAATGATGGATTGTTGCTCGGAGTTCTTCTTTCCATCTCTTTTTCGCCCCTTTTCGAAGACTTGCACAACCTCCTCCCACACGCACATGTACCCTGACAAAGAAGCCTCGCCGGGACGTGAAAGCGTCCGCGTGGTCCGCAGCCAATCAGAGGCGCGCAAACGTGTTGTGACGTCGCGGCGGCGCCGAGTTGAATCTCGCTTTCGCGCGTCTAGCAGGAAGAGAGTCAGGTTCGCACACACACACAATCGCGCGGAGGTGAGGGTGGTAAGCCGGGGTGAGAGAACATTGGACGCCGCTATGGGAAGTGCGCAAAAACGGCATTTATTCTCAGGCCGGGACCGGCCGGCAAGCTCTTTCGCGAAGTCGTCGACGCTGGTCAGCCGATTACATTTTGTTGCTCCCGGGGAACACAGAACAGAACAAAAGACAAAATGGTAAGCTTTGTATATTTTTATTTCGTTGTTGTTCGTTCTCTCGCGCTTTCTTGGAGCTGTAGGAAGAGTGCCCAGATTGGTTAAACATGATTAAGATACATTGAAAGGGGGGACTCCGCGCAGCCAACGCACGACAAAACGAAAAAAAAAAAAAAAAAAAAGAAGCGTGTGTGCGCAGTCAACGCACGACGAAAGGCAACTAGAGACTTGCGGTCGCTCCGTTTCAGCAGCCCAGATTGCTTTTGAGCTAATCTTAATCATTCCAAAGGTCAGTCCAGATTACCCTTCGCGAAAGATGCCCCTACAAGAACAAAACGAAGAAAAAAAAAAGCGTGCGCGAGAGTATAAAAGTAAGAAATAAAAGCATGAGTCCTATGGTGCTTTCTTCTGTAGTTTGAGGGAGAGTATATAAGCAAAAGATGGAGCCTTGACATTTTCGTAGCCTATTCAAGTCCACCTATAGGAGGCTGGTGTCGGTCTAGTCCCTTCTATTGGTTAAATATATTGACAGTCAGATTAAATACATTTTTGGCCCCATTGCTGGTCACCAAAACACATGAAAGGCGTACATTGGTTGTTTTTCTGTGATCAGTGCTGTTATATATTGGTAGAGTGATGCCCGCATTATTTGATGGGGCGTTAAACGTTTGTCCCTTATGAGCGGTTTGTTAATTAGCTTATTTAGACCGTTTAAGCGTTCAATACCAGAGGGAATGCTGACGTCAAGGAATCAAAGTCATACATGATACCACAGGACGCATTGTCTTGCAGCTGGAGACATCCGTTATTTCTCTCGGTATATACGACCATGTCATGATGTTTAATGGCAGGTATACGCTGGACCATTCGCAGAAAGCGTTTATGAAGTGAAGCGCTGCCAAATGTTGTCATTCTTTCAGTCACATGACCACTGCCTCACTCAAACTAAGCAAAAGACATGACGAGAAAAGACTGTAGGGCCTACATTTGTCTGTTCTAGCCAGTTACCGGCCTAAATAGGAAACCCTGGCCAACTGGAAAAGCACAAAAAAAACAACGAAAAAACACACACACACACACTGAAAAAACAAAAAAACCTGCTCTAGGCCGGCCGCTTTGAACATGGCGTCTCATAGATTCACGACGTTATTTTCACATCAATTGCAATGTCGAGTTTACTCCGCCGTTAGCAATGGTTTCTTCTCCACGTGCTTTGAGAGAAAGAAGACAAGTCGATTTATAGCCTCCGAAACGATGAGAACGACAGGAGGGTCTTTCGGAGTTCCTGCCTGCAGCGCGAGCTTCTAGCCTTCAATAATACTTCGCCGTCCCGTGAGCTTCGAGCGTGTGCGCGCAGCCAACGCACGACGAAAGGCAACAAGAGTCTTGCGGTCGCTCCTTTTCAGCAGGCCGTCCGAGTCCATTCATGTCAAAATTCCTGGGACGATGAAGATCTACGGAAATCGCGAAGACTGGCGAGGTCACACACCGAACCATACAAACACATGCTTTCAGCATTTGGGTCTCCCCACCCTCACTATGGTCCTTCCCCCTAATCCCCAAAACACCTTCTAAAAAATGCTGCAAAAAAAAAAAAAAAAAGTAACTGCCGGCCTGGTTCGCCTTGTGACATAAAAGCAACGCCCGGGCACGGCCTGGGCCCTTCACAAATGTAGCTATGAAGCCCGAGCCCGGCCCGTGGCCCGCGGGCTGGCCCTTACCCGTGGAGACCTCTACGGGTGACGCCACTGGTTGGGTAGGAATTGGATCGCATTGGGTAGGAATATTTCTTACTTTACTCCAGCTTCCTGGCACTAGTGGGACCCAAGAATACTCGAACGCAACACCACTGACCAAGAAGCGTCTTCGTTGCGGCGGAATTCAAAGGATGAAAGCGGAGCTTTTCTTTCAGTCTCTCCCTCCAAAGCCGCCTTTTGCTCCCTCGCGAAATTTGATGACGGAGCTGTGGGGACAATGGCAACAGTACGATCCCCGGGAATGCGTCATCGAGCTTTGCGGTGGCGATATTCAAATGCTGCTCACACAGTGGACGCAGAGCCGTTTATACTGAGAGAGTTTGGCCGATGGGCGGAGCTTGTTGGCCGCTAGAACCAGCGGATTTCGCGATAACACAATATGGCGTTACTTCTTTGTCTTGTTCATTCCTGTGAAATCGCGTAGAGTTCCTATGAGGCAGATCCACAATATGGCGGACGGAAGTAGTCATCCCCCGGTTGTCAGACTACGCTGCTGTGGTTGTCAGACTGCCAAAATCTCCTTAAGAAGGCCAAACTCTCTCAGTATAAACGGCTCTGAGTGGACGCGAAGACGGCGTACGCATTCAATCTGGGCTCGTGACAATCGATGCCTCGACATGCATTCGGGTAGTGGCCCGTGTACCATCGCTGCAACGACGGCAATAGCCGAGCCATAACAATGTCTGGAACTCAACGCGTGACCTGTGCTTTGCCAACCCCAGCGCGTGGCTATGATCAACATTGGCGGCATATAATCGGCTCCAGATCACGTGGCCGCTTGTTCTGGCTGCGAGTTGAGGGGGTGAACGGTGCTCGTTTTTCTTTAATTTTTTTTTTCTTGAACTTCTATTGCGTGGGGTGAAAAAAGAACGGTTCCGTAAGTGGTATTTGCGCAATGTACAAAAATTGTGGCATCGCCCCTTTGATGTGCTCTCCATAGCGACCGACACACACCATCTTCGTGGAAAATGATGCAACGTGCGCTCAGAGTTTCTCCGATCCTTGAGGCGTCGCGTAACGGGGGAGAGTTTACGCGTCGGTTACATTCTACGTCGTCTGGCAAGGAAACGACGCCCCGTTTTCTTGGCATTCCTTTTTTGGAAGGCTTATCTTTTCGATGTCAAGGCCACAGTCACTTTAGTCTTCATTCATTCGACGGAGCTATACTCTGTTTCATACTTAGCGTGCGACGCTGTCAAAGCTACTGGCGCGGGCGCGTGGCTTCCTCTATGGTTTTGTTTGCGGGAGGGCGCGTGCAAATGATCAACGAGATCAAGCCCCACGCTCGTGCCAGTAGCTTTGACAGCGTTGCACGCTAAGCATGAAACAGAGTATACTACCTATGAAGTGAAGACAAAGGAGGCGCAAAGCCTCTATCACTCTGTGTCCGCTTTGACGAACTCTCTTTACACTGAACCAGGGGTCTGAAACACGCGGCCCGCGACTCTCTGGGACGCGTCCCGCAAGTGTCCCGTGGCTGCGATGTACCGTTCCTATGCCTCGAGCGCTGCATGCGCCATGAGTGATGACCTCTTGGCGTCCATTCATTTCCACTGGGCGCGTGGCTCTGCTCTTATGACGTTTCAACATGTTTGCCACAAATCTTTTTTTTTTTATTAGACCGAGGATAGTTTTGTTTTGCATACCGTGAAGACGCAAGTATTTTCTTGTAATGCTGCTACAAAAATCACCAGGAGGGGAAAAACTACAATATGCAAGGATTTTCTTTCTAGACGCATTGAACTCGGATAATTCCCGAATGAATTGAACGATAGAATAACGATTGTGTGCATGGTTTCTAGTTCTACTGAAAAATTCTAGCCCGCTGGCGGGATGGTGGTATTTTAAATATTGTAATCACTCTAGTATAACCCCGAAGTAGTTTTATGTATAAGTCAAAGCTAAAGACGGCTATTCCTTTAGCAAATCTCTGTCTGTTGCTGAAATACTCGGCTGCTTTGGAACGTGGAACACCATCACTTTTTTCTTCTTTTTCCCTCCTAAAATATGTTAACCCCCTCCCTCCCTCTCTCTCTAACCCTGCCCCTATGTTAACCCTTGACATTCCAAGGGTGGGCTATCTGGCCCCCACACTCAAATGAGTTTGAGACTCCATGCACTCAACTCTACCTGTTGTTTCTTTATTATAATTTGGGAGCTCGATTGGCTTATACCTGACCCTGAACTCCCGTAATAGCCAATATCATCACGTGGTGCTGTTAAAGCTCCCTTTGAAGACAATAGACACGGACAGATGGAGAAGTCCAGTGCGTGCAACGCCACGAACACATTGGCTGACTTGCGACGCGGATCGCAAGTTCGTCTGCTTTATGCGCAGGGGTTGCGGTGACGTCAGGTTGCCGAGTTCTGATTGGCTCTGATTGGAAGGATAGTGGGTAGACCTCGAGGCAGCTAGCATTGAGGTCTACTCACTATCCGTCCAGTCAGAGCCAATCAGAGCTCCGCGTTCTAACGTCACCGCAACCCCTGAGCAAGAAGAGAACGAGCCACTCATCATAATGTGATTGACGGGGCTCGCCCCGCCCTTCCTTTCTTAAGCTGTCATTTACTGTACATGATAATCGCAGCCCGAGCACTATCGTTTTGACGTCATCAAAAAATGCACAGAGTGTTGGCGTCAGCGTTCGGCACTATCCGAATGTGATGACGTCACGTGGATAGGGGAGGCAGAGGAGGGCGCTAAAGTCGCTGGATTCCGGAAAAGGTGCGCCATTGCCTTCCCTGGCTGCTGACCCGGGGGGGGGGGGGGGGGGGGATATTTATACAGCGCATAGTTTGTCTGCCATTTAAAAGTTGCGACGAGTCACTTGCTGTATATGAAAAATATAGCCAGTGCAGTACAACCGCTATCCTAGGGTCTTTAACGTGCATCACGCAGTATAGTGATACTCAACCACACGGCGGTACAATGCTCATCCAGCCTGACGGGCAGGGGTGGGGATGGAACCCAGGATCCCTAAGTTCTACAGCGCGAGGTTTGCTGCACGTGCTCCGAGCTGGTATACGCTAGCCCACTCGGCCACCAATATATTTTATTTTTGTATTTATTGCGTGGAAAGGGGACAGGACAAAACGTCAAGCATACAGTTCGACAAAGTTCCATCCTTGCTTGTCGCTACTTTCCTAGAATCCAGTGACATTAGAGGAGCTGGTGTTGACTTTGACCGTTGCATCATCAGCATTTCTCGCGCATGCCGAGCACGCGCCAGACTGCCACTGCGCAGAGCCGTGCTCTTATCGCTC